TACAGGCAAGAAAACTGCGGCTCTCAAATATTTGTTGATTTGATTTTTATTTTATACACAGCGCATAATCACATGGGGGTATACATGTTCATGAATGTACCTTCTGATAATCCTAAAATGCTCTCTGATATAGACAGAATGTCCCTAATTTCTCAGATGTAGGGGGAAATTCAAAGTAGGAACTCTCCTATCTGGTCAAGGAATAGATGGTCTGAGTGACCAAATCTTTTAACAGACCGGGTTCGCTGCTGGTTGGCAGGAAAGATGAAAAGGTTACCAAAAGGAGCTGGCAAAGTCAGGAATACGAGAAGTGTAATCTACAACTCATGTGAATTAGTAACTTTCAAAAGTTTCAAGTAAGATAAAACAAGTTAACACAAATTCTACCTAACCTAACGTAAAACAATTTGACATTTTCAATTCAGAAGGCTATTCTCCCCCTAATAAATCCATTTAAACGTTTTATTAAGCACCGAGTACCTGGAAAGCACTGGCGCTGTGAGAGATACAGACATAAGTAAGCTCTGTCCTTAATCCTGAGGACTCAGCAAACTGCAGGAGAAATAAGACGAATACAGAAGCAACCAGACTTCTGCTGTTCAGAGAGAGGTATGGACAAATACTGTTGGGTATCTATCCATGATTATGAAGGTCAAGTATAAATCATTTTGGAGCTGGGTAAAAGGAACTGTTAGATTTCCAGGCACAATGCCAGGTACTAGTTCTTTCTGGGAACTATATAATACATATGTAGTAATTTTCACTAAAAACCTTAATCATACTCAGCATAGACAAGGATTTCTCAATGACTTTTTTAAAAAAATGTTCATCCATGTCCAAAAAGTGATTTTCAGTTTGAGAGTCTGTGGATTCTTTTCTGCTGTGTTAACTCGGGACAGAGCTCACTATTTTGGTTCTTCCTAAAATTAAGGAGGGTAAGAGGGCAACCACCAAAAATATGATGCTCAGAAAAGTCAAGAGGACAGGTTTAGCTTTGTCTTGTTCACCTTGGAGGGCTGTTTGCATTGGCGGTACACAGTGCCAAGGGAAAAAATTTTCCTTTAACCCAAGCTGTTCATCATAGTTAATGTTAATACCCATCTTGGTTCTTAAAGCATTCAGGGAGGCATAATGATGTCTAAATGGTTCAAAGAAGCAAAACGGAACAATTAGCGCATTTATTTAACACGACTTTTGTGCACTTTAAGCCTTCAAAAAACTAAATAGTAAAGGCCTACTACCTTGGTCAGATTTTAATGGCTTCCTATGTGAAATAAAAAATGCACAAATCAAGCAAAGGGAGAAAAGTCTAACCATTCTTCATCTATAATGGACTGATAACAATTATTTACTAGCTTTCTTTAAAAAAATAAAAAAAGAAAAAGAACAACTTGTTAGCATTTTTCTGCTGCTGACAACAGACTAATGGTCTCTTTGAGAATGACACTGCCACCACTGGGGCACAAATGCCGGCTCTAACCATATACTGGCTGATACGCATCACAGGTGAAATAATAACTTGGAGGAAACTCATTAAGGTGATAAGAACTAACTCCACTTTACAAAGTAAAAAGTGATTTAGAATTTAGTTCTTCGGTATTTTTTAAAAAGCAGGGTGAACAAGGACCTACAGTATAGTACAGGGAATTATATTCAATTTCTCGTCATAACATATAATGGAAAAGAATCTGAAAAGAAAAAATATACATGTAGGTACATGTATAACTGAATCACCTTGCTGTACACCTGAAACCAACATTGTTAAATCAACTACACTTCAATAAAATTTTTAAGAAATAAACATAAATAAAAAGCTCTAGAGACAAAAGACTAGAGGTTTACTACAGGCATCAGCCTGAGCAAGTTACTTAAGTTGGCTGAATTTCAATTTGCTTATCTGTGAAATGTGATCATTTAACACATGTTGAGAGCCAAGCGCTTTTCTAGGCGTCAGGCATACAGCAGTGAACAAACCCTTGCCATTGTGGAGCTTACGTTCTACAGGAAAAAATATACAGAAATGAATACAGAAATAAACAGAAAAAAGATTTAAAAATACAATATATTAGACAGCGATGAGCGCTAAGGAGAAAATAATGCAGGAAGGAGGTTTCAAAGAACAGTCAGGGAAAGTCTCACTCAAAAAGATAACACTTGGACACAGACAGGCAGGAATTGAGAGGGAAAGCCATGTTAATATCTGGGGTCAAAAAATGAAGCAGCATGTGCAAAGGGCCTGAGGCAGGTACACGCCTAGCTTGTTGAAAGAATAAGAAAGCCAAGATATCTGATGCAGAATGACAGAAAAGGAAGAGAGTAGTGGAAAATGAGGTCCAAGAACAGGGTTGGGGAGCAGTGTGGCAAAGTGCTGTAGGGCAACAAGACTGTTTATTGTAAGGACTCAGGCTTTTCCTCAGAGTGCAACAGAAAGCCACTGGAAGGCTGACAACACGAGAGGTGCCTAACTGAACTTACGTACCAGAATAAAATTTACCAACAGAATTCTTTTGTGAGGACCAAATGCAAGGTGAAAGGGTTCTTTAAACTAGAAACTGCTGTAAAAATGCAAAGCATTCTTATTATATCATTAATTTTCTAAGTCTCTTTTTATATCAGCTTTGCCAAACTCATCTGCACAAAATAGTAGTAAATACAAAAAACTCTCTCCATTTCTACTACACTATTTTAAGCATGTAGGAGCTTTATTTTTTGCTTTTAAATCAAACCACCAAAAAATGATATTTAACATAAAAGATGAACAGTGTGAAAACCAATCTCACCCTATCATTAAACCCAGCAGTGAGTCATGTGCTTAATGACCATCTCCCTTTGCGCTGCTTGAAATGGAAAATGGAGGCTCCAGTAGTAGATAGGAGACTCTCCTGTTACCACAATGATGACCCAAACAATTCCCACCTGGGGAAGTTTCTTATTTATTGGCATACACCGAATGTACACGGGGCAAGTTTTCATTATGTAAGTGAAGTATGTTGCAAATGGTACAAATTATTAAACTAAATAAATTTCTTATTATGATACCAAACAGCTCACCATCAAGTCACTGTTTGGAAGCAATTATGGAAAATGATGGCCCTGTTAATTTGTAAGGAAAAACAGTGCTAAGCTGAAAAGACACTGGAAATGCAAATTTAAGGTATTTCCCCCAATTCTGGCCTTCGTTTTTTTCAGGCTTCTTGGTGTTACTTTGTCATTTCAGCTACTGTCTGGCTATCACTATTAACCATATGAAAATAACTCTAGTGCCATCACTAACTTCTCTTAATTCCAGTGCCGCATGACCGAACATTGCCATCTGATGTCCTGCCAGCAACAAATAATCTCACGTAACTTTTACCGAGCCCAACTTTTCCTCAACACTTTAACTTTGTGTGCTAACTCGTCCCATCTTACACCACCCTGCGAGGACAGTACTATTATCACAGCCATCTTATATTTAAAAGTTAAATAACTAGCCCAAAGTCACATACTAAAAGACAGAACCAGCACTGCAGCCTAGACATTAACGCTCCGCAGTTGACGCACTTAACCACTGCCGGTTGCAACCATGACTTAGCTTTGTAACTAACTGAAACGGACCCGAAACAAACTCATCCTCGGTTCTCTCCTAGCCCTCCGGCAAATCAGCTCCTGTGTCCCGCTTCGAGTGGAAAGGAATGTAAATTACAGTCACCTGACTTCAAAACTCAAGTCACTGACGCCTCTCACGGGCAGTCAGTCCCTAGGAGACCCCCCTAAGCTGCCCTGAAGCCCAAATTTCTCGCAGCACAGGCCGCAAGGGCAGCGCCAAAGGAAGGGCCGCCCCGGGAACGCTGGGGGTGTGTCGGGGCGCCGTCCCAGCGTGCGGTCCTGGAGCCCGCATGCCACCCGCCTCTCGGCTGCCCGAAACCGCCTTTCGCCGTCCGCCCGCCCCGCGCCGGCCCGCCTCGCCCCGCAGCAGCCCCCGACCTCCGCACGCCGCACTCCCCGCCCGCGAACGCCTCCCCCTCGTCTCCCCTTCCCCAGCCTGGCAGTTGCAGGCTTTACCTGCTCCTCCGCTTCCGCCATGGTGCTGCCGGCGAGTCACGTGACACCCCCGGAAGTGAGAGAAAGAGAGACGCCGAGCCCGGTGCCTGCTGGGAAGTGTGGTTTTAGGAGCATCTGAATCGTGTTTTCCAGCTGATGAACCTATGGAGCCTCGTTTCAGCTGACTCTCCAAGCTAAGTGGAATTGTGCTTTGGAGAATCCAAACATAACCGTTGTCAGTCTATGATTTATTTTATTGATGGTCTTATTGTTTCCGTTTTTACTATGTATTTATTTATATTCACTGTATATGAGGCCCTGGATTTATAGCATTGCATAAATTATCTCATTTAATCCTCCCAGCAGCCCTTATTATTATTACCATTTACAGAGGAAAACATTTTGGCTCACAAGTCACAAAGCTAGTACAAGACATAACTAAGATTTGAATTTGCAGAAGACTCAGCAGTTACCAAATCCCGCTTAGTCTAAAAATGTCTTTTTTTATAAGTATATTATGTAAATATAAAGCAGTCTTTGAAACAGAAAACCGGAGACAATTTATACTTCAAAAATATTTAGCTCCCACTGTTTGATGCTACTTTGTTGGCTTCCTCTTCTGGCATCTGGACGTTGAAATTTTTTTTTTAATTGTTTAATCATTTGTTTAAATTTTTGTGGAGTATATCCCATAGGTAAATATTCAAGATAGAATATAAATTTATCCTCGGTAAAATCTGTGGAACTACTGTATTACTTCCATCCTTAGTATGAATGATAACCCTCCCCATGTTTGTGGGTGTCATGAACTCTCCTTCCTTATCCTTGGGAATCTGCAGTATCCTGTCAAAGGCAGGCATTTACTTCTTTCTGCTCAGCTGCAGTGGATTGAAACTGGCAGAGGGCTTCACAAATGGCAACACGTGGTGGGTACCTAGTACTTTATTGACCCCTGTGTTGCAAGGACTCTGACCTAGTAGGAAGTCGTGGACTCAGGACTCTGTTCCTCCCAGGTCTGCAGCTGTAACCTTCTCAACTCGTGGTTCCTCAATGGCCAGGGTGACATCATCTGAGACACTTGTCTTCTCCCCAGGGCAGAAAGAGCCTTAGCTCCATCCTCTTCTTCCAAGTCTTGGCTGGGGGGGGTCCATCTTCTAGTCTGCTGATCACTTAGTTACGGGGAAAAAGACAGACCAACTCCAAGGTATCTAGGTATACATAGTCAAGCACCCAATACTCAACCGTTCCAGTCCAAAATTCTAAGATTCTCTCTTGCATAACAGCTTGGAACCAAACATTGCTCGTGATTGACTCCAAGTCTGCTCGTGATTGACTCCAAGTCCCACAGGGATCCTTGTACCAACCAACAAGGCTATGGAAGCCCCCAGTCCAGTCTCCACAGGAAAAAGAAATAAGCCTGGCCCCTCTCCTTGTCTGACTTTCCTCACAAACTATAATTTTCCCTTTTCCATTAGGAGCTAGACCCAGCCATAAACTTTTAGAGGACTATACCCTCTCCAAAATGACAATCTCTTCTGCTTTGATAAGACACAGGCTCAGGATTAGGAAGGAAAACAGAGGATTATAATCACTGTCTTCCCGGTCAGGTGTTTTTTATTGTTCAACCCTACTGTGATGAGAAGTCAGGTAACACCTCTAGAGAAAGAGTGATTAAACACTGGGAAATAAGTAGGAAACTCAAACCCTTGAAATTCAAGCAAAATCCTGTTCTTGTTCTTCTCAAATTCTGCTTTTCTTTCCCAACAAACAAGTGTGCACCCTCAAAATTCTGAGGACTTCACACCCTGGGGAGGAGCTAGCTTCTCTCTCTCTCCTTCTGGGCTGGAAGTCTTCCTTCTAAGCCCTTCTGGCCTCCAAGGCCACACTGTCACCTGGCCCTGTGCTGATGGTAGAATTGTAAGTGGGGATCACTAAAAAGCTTTTATCGAAAGGGTCTTAGAGTCACAATCAGCTTCTAGCCCGGGGTTGCTGCTCCCCGATTTCACGGCTGAATATGCTGTCTTTTCTTCTCTTGGAGGCTGGAGCTGCCTAAGTTTATATGATGGTTGAGTCTTCTCCACAAATTCTCCAAGGGGCACGTTCCTTTCATCTGCCACACAGGTTCTGCTCTGGGGGCCCTCCTGGTGGAGGACAGGGGCCACCGAAGCAAGCGGAATTGGAAGCTGGCCATCCACTCTGAGGCTTCCTGATCTTTCTGCTTTTCTGGAATGCAGATTGTTCAGCCTCTTTCTCTTCCTCAAAAAAAAAAAAAAAAAAGGTGAGATGGGCCTTATTGAAGATGTAGTCAAAGTTTACTGCTGATTCTCCTTTGCTCCTCAACCTGCAAAACTCTGGATTCCCCCAAATCTGTTCCCCATTCAGTATACTGTATTGACTCAATGAGTATTGGAGATATTACTGTTTCCTCTTGAACAGACTGGAAAGTGAAGTGACACAGATGTGGGAAGATGAATTCAAGGAAGAAAGCACGCTACAGGCTGCCAGGTTCAGACAGTGCCTGTGGGCAAGATGAAATTCACGTGTGACCTCCGAGCCCCGAGTCTTCTCACGTGAAATGACAGTTACGGGCTCTCTCATCCAGGAGGTCCTGCTCCTCAGAGTGTGGCCCGCAGACCAGCAGAATCATTACCTGGGAACTTGCTAGAAACAAAGAGCTTAGGGCCCTTCCAGAGACTTACTGAGGAAGCACCTGGATTCAGATAATACCCCTAGGTGATAAGTATGGACATTAAAGTTCGAGAAACATTCAGCCTAACAGTCTTTCATTTTATGACAAATCACCTGTTTCCTTTTTGTTCCTCATCATCAGTTCATGCTCTCCCACCTTCAGGCTGTGGAGGTCGAGGTAAGAGTCAACGTCTCATTCTCAGTGTGTAGGATCTAGTTCCGTGAATAGTTTTCAGAAACCAGACCTAAGACCTTATAATATTTGTAGCGTGGTTCACTGGTTTTAAGGCTCTGTCTCGTAAGTTTGTTGAAGAGGTCTGAAACCATTTACAAACTCAATAAATTTAGTCATTTTATTCATGATAACAACCTATTTCATTGTTTAAACAATAATGAAGGGCTTCAGTATTTTCCAGTATAAGACAGTACTTCTAAATGTCAGAAACTTGAAAAATCATCATAGTGGAAAGATGAGTTAAAAAAAATTCACCCCTTTATCCCTTCTAATTAGATGGTGCTTTATAGATTATTTTCCCAATCTTTAGCTTCCATTCCTTCTTAGCTTGCTAGCTTTTTCTGTCTAAAGGTCTTTCTTGACAGGCAGTGACAAGCCAACTTGTACCACGTTATACTACTGACTGAGCCGTGATATTAATCTGTCTTTAATTAGCTTTCTCTCCCAGTAGCTAAAATAATATTTATTTTATCTTTAGCAATTTTGGCAAGCCTCATCTTATTCTGCAGTTTGGGTTTTCAGAACCTGTACCACTGAAACCTTCTAATATTTCAGATGCTATTTTAAGATAAAGCTTATTGTAATTTTCCTAAGCAACCATACTAGATTTTTTAAAGGAACATTTGTCTAACTACAAAACAATACATGTATGACTGAAACATTATGCCGTGCACCAGAAACTGACAAAACATTGTAAACTGACTAGACTTCAATTAAAAAATGTATATTCATGATAATTGGAAAAATACAAAAAATTATAAAATAAATTCAACTGCGACTCACAACTTCTCCAGATCATGACTCTTGGATACATTTGCCCTCTCTCTCTCTCCCTCTCTTCCCTGTTTGCTTTCTGTGTCTAAAGTTTTTAGACAAATATCAAATTTTGTCATCTGCTTTCTTCACTTAGTTGTTTTCCAGTAACACTATAAAATGTTCTAAAAGATGGTTTAATGGTGCACATTAAAATTGCATTCTGTGAAAATACCATAATTTATATAATCAACCCCTTTCTGATGCATACTTTGAGTATATCTAACTCACATCCCTGGGCATAATTTTGGCAGGTGCTTTAATGAAGGGTGGTAGGTATCCACTGTAGAAACAAGCAAAGCCAACCAAATGAAAAAAACCAGGGCTGTTTATTCAGAACCTGCTCCAGCACGGAAGTCAACCACCGTCATCTTGACAGAAACTCAAAGGTGGGCAGAGGCGTGCGAAAGCTTTATGATGGGAAAGGGGGAGGCTTTGGGAGCGCCCTGATGAGAGGCTGTTGGCGTGGGGAAGCATAGTGGGCTACTGGGGGCGGAGCATGCTGTGTGATGGGCTGTGGGTGCATATTTTGCTTTCTCAGGTCCTAAGTTGGAAGCAGGGACAAAAATTAGAGAAGCTGTCAGTTATTAATCACATCCTAGCCACTTTGGGCCAACTGTTGCAGAAGTTACTGTTCAGCTTCCCGATTGCTATTAAAGATGGCAGTCTGACTTCCTGTAAGTCTGACTTATAGCAGCCTGGCTTCCTGGATATTATTATAGATAAGGGGTTGATTTCCTGCGCAGGTTTGCTGCAGGTTGTGGGTCACAGTTCTGTTTCTATATCTAGTCTGGTCATTGTCTGTTTGTAAATCCCATCGCTCACAATTTATATTTCTCAGAGTTATGTATGTGATCTCTATAGTTTTCTACCATAAAACATTAGATATTATAATTTTCTTGAACATTTCATCAATTTGGTTGGAGAAAAAATAGTATTTTACTTTTTGTCTTAACTTGTATGTTTTTTATTTCTGATGAGTTGATATTTTCCATACGCTTACTCACCATTATGGATTGTTTTCTGCATTTTCCACTCCTGCTCTTTACTTATTTTCTACTGGGAAATTGATCTTTTTTTCTCATTGACTTGAAACAGAATGTCCAGCTGACATTTGGTTATTTGGTTTTGAAGCTAAGAGAAAGCTGGTGCTGGAGATAAATATTCTGAGATCTTCAGCATACAATGGATATTTATGGACATTTGAAGTCTGGGGGTACTAAACAATAAAGGGAAAATGCAACCTGAAATATAATCTTTGGGAATATGCAAATTTGAAGAAGCAATGAAGATGAGGTAGTTTAGATTCAGTATGGTAGTTCTCTGGCTCCTGCAAA